GCAAAGCTAGTTAGGAATATGTGGACACTCATGCCGCAGCAAATAACTTCTGTGGTACTCATGTAAGACGCCAAAATGGTATGGAAATGAAGGAGAGACTAATTGGGTTGAGTAAGTAAGCTTGGATACCATAATCAAGCATAAACATGTAGCAGTCGAACAGTTCACATAGAGGTAATCAACAGGGTGTTTGTGATGGTGCTGAGAAACGGATGCGGGCACATAAATTGTTGTAGCTCACTGATTTTACAGTCCAGCTTTTAACGCATCTTTTCAGATATCTTGTTAGTACATTATGAAACTAGCCCCGCGGAAACGCGGAATTACAAATGGTTACGGAAAAATCTGAAGTGAGTTGATTTATATGGTAGTTTTGCTAACTGCGGTCTATTTAATGCATCTGATTCACAAAAATTGAACTTAAAGTTGTATTTTGTCATGGTATGTTCAGGCAGTATGCCAGTCAAAGAGGGTTTGCCATCGTTGACATAGCCGAATTGGACGTTGATGCAAACCTTACGTTTACCATAGAAGACGCATTCACAAAGGTGAGCCGTTTAGTTTTTTTTAGTCGGTCCAATACTAATTTATTTTAGGCTCATCAAATTGTGGTGAGCTTTACACCGTCTCACATCGAAGCGGTGAAGTCGCGAAGCAGTCAATGCAGAGCTATAGTTTACACACATGATCTTATGAATCAGGAATTCTTCACACTTAACAGTATCAACAAACGATTTCGTGCAGTCATCTTTGATGTGAGTTTTACCAGATTACATTTTAGAACTGACTGCATGGAATCTAACTATTTAAGGACACCGAATTGAGCGATCTTCCAGTGGGCTGGCCACGCTCAACACTTGTCTATCACTTTCCTGTCAATATGGCTGCTTTATGCACCAAAATCTTCAAGGAAAATGATTTCGATAACACAAGCACGTTGTAGTTCCTTTGGTTGGTCTTCCATATCAAATATACTTTGTGTTTCCTACTTTTCCTCAACGGGTAATTACCATAAAATTTGATTATTTTCCTTTCGGGAGCAAACATATCAATTTAGTAATTTTGCTTCCGTAAAAGA